ATACTCCCTGCTGAGCAGGAAGCCCGATGTGGGACTCGATTCCGGGACTCCAGGATCATGACCTGAGCCAAAGGCAGTCGCTTAACCAACTGAGCCACCCAGGCGCCCGAAGCAGTGACTCTTAAATACAGAACACAAACTGGTAGTTGCCAGAGGAGAGATGGGTGACAGGATGTGTAAAATAAAGAGTATTAAGAGTAGTGTTGTCATGATGAGCACTGACTAATGCATAGAACCACTGAATCATTATACTGTATAACTGAAACTAATATAACTCTATATTGTAATTATATGTCAACAAAGAAAATATTGGGGAAAAAATAAAGAACAAAAAAAAGCCAGGAATTACTATGTTAAAATAGTAAATTTTTATAAATCAGAAATTATAAACAAAGTCCAAAGACAAATGGCAACTGTGAAAAAAACTATTGATAACTTATATCATTGGCAAGAAATTATTGTACCTATTACATAAAGAACTATTAGTATTGATAAGTTAAAGAGTCTAGCAAAAGAATATAATATCAAAGGACATGAACAGTTAGTAAAAAAAATTGTACCCTTCAAATATGAAATGGTCAATTTCACTCATAATAAGAGAAACATACATTAAAAGTACACAAAGATGCTATTTTTCACGTATTATATTTGCAAAATTCCAAGTTCTAGAATCCCATTATTGGCACTGCTGTAGAGAAACAGTCACTTTTCTACGTCAGGGAGAGAAGTGCAAAATACTACAGTACCTACGGAAGGGGATCTAGTAATATCTACCAAAATTAAAGATTTATTTATCTGAATCAGAATCTCACCTTTGGAAATTTCTCCCCCAGACATACCTATGTGTATGTTAAATGTGTGTAGAACACTCATTATATAATTGCATGAAATAGCAACAAAACAACAACAATAAAAATTAAAACATCAGAGTTAATAAACATTCATTAAAACATCTATGGGTGAATGGTACTCCAGTGAAAATGATGAAGTCAAAAATTTTACCATTTGAAAATTTCAAAATTTTCAAAAATTCTCTCCATCATAAAAGCAATTATTAGTGAGATTTTTTTTCAATAATTTCAAATAATTATCGCAATGATTATAATGGCTACAGAAGTTTATACTCAGGGAGCACTTTCCGTAAATTACCATTTGATCATTACAACAGGCACTGAGATAGATACTGTATGTGTTAAGATGAAGCAGTCCTACTGAAAAACAAACTGAGGGTTCTAGAGGGGAGGGGGTGGAGGGATGGGTTAGCCTGGTGATGGGTATTGAAGAGGGCACGTTCTGCATGGAGCACTGGGTGTTATGCACAAACAATGAATCATGGAACACTACATCAAAAACTAATGATGTAATGTATGGTGATTAACATAACAATAAAAAATTTAAAGAAAAAAAAACATAGAAAAAAAAATGAAGCAGTCCTAGAACTTGCTTCTAAAGTATTCACAATATACTAGATGACGTAGACATCTTAGCTAGAAGCTCACAAACATTTCCTGCAAATGCCATTAGTAAATATTTTAGACTTTGGGTACCTTACTTTCTTTGTCCACCTCTTCATTCTACCATTGTAGCTTGAAAATAGCCACATACAATACATATATGCAGTGTGGCTGTATTTAAAAAAACACATTAGTCGCGGAAACTGATATTTGAATATCATATAATTTCCATATGTCACAAATTTTTTTTTAAAAATTCAAGATTAAAAATGAAAACAAACAACCCAAAACTTGTTTAGTATGTTGACAATATCAAAATGTGCACAGGCTGAATTTGGCACACAGACTATAGTTTAACAGACCCATGATCTAAACCATAAACTAAACTTTATAGTTGAATTAGTATCAGAAATACCAAATAGTATTTCCCAGTTTTACCTTTAAGGAAACAGAAATACAGGGAATGAAAGAGACTTGCCAGCTATAAGACAGATAATAAGCAGAGAAGCTATAACTCAAACCTAGCTCTTTGCTTACTAATCATTGGTATCTACTGAAGACAATGAGTCTATTCCAATAATAGGTGTTTGTGGATGGCATAAATTTTAGAATTTGTGTGATAACTTATATAAAATTATATCCTCAGTTATAATGGGATTCATTCAGCACTGTTCATGTAAAAATCAAATTTTTACATGATTTTTGGAAAAGAAAAAACACTTCTGTTTTAAAATTATAATGACATTACTATATAATTTGTTCTAGGAGAAAAGGACTTACTTTCTAACCAGTGTGTTATTATATTTTCCCTACCCTAATCCTTCAATTATTTAAAAAACTTCAAGTCCGTAAGATATATAAAAAGGTCTTTAATTATTCCATGAGATCAAATTCATGATATATATCCATGCTAGTTTTGGTATTTGATCTTTCATGGTGAATACCATCAGGAAAAAATATGGATTATCAATTATACATATATATATATTTATAATTATAGGTATGTAGAATGGTGTATATATATTATGCCTGAATATGTATAATTCTACTATTTACATTAGAAATAGCTCTATGATCATGGTCTTAGCCACATATAAAAGTCTTAGTAGTGAACAATATATATTGACTACTGTCAACAAAATAAATGCCTTCATAATAATCCAATCATTGACTAGAAAACACTAAAAATACTTACAAGAAATATATGAGAAGTTGGTCAAAATACTTAGGGTTTGAGCCCTAATCAAAAGCCCAATTAAAGTTGTTTTATAATGTGAAATATAACTGCAGATATACAAAATTATAGTCAAGAGCTCAAGGATAATTTAAAATATGTTTACATAAGACATCTATAAAAATACTATTTTAATACAAAAACTGCATTTCATGACTACTAATTATTTCTACTGACAAAACTGCTGTCATTTCTGTGGCAGAAAAGGTCCAAGTTGATAATTTTCAGTTCTTTTTCATGCTCATAGTAATTGTGATGATTCTATTTTTTTTATAAGTGCTATGAAAATACATAGCTGGTTCCTTATGAATGTATTTGTGTGAAATATAAATTTACTTCTTGAACCAATTAAAATAATGGGGCAAAGAGCATTATTTTAATCACGTATGGATTGAGCTTGGTAGTCTTTAAAAAATCAGTTATGTTTTTAAGTATGTACATAGTAATAGGTAAGTGGAAAGAATCTATACGATCAAATCAGAATTTCTCATAAAGGAAGATAAGAATAGAGTAGAAAGATTAAGTGAGTGGATCAGGTCAGATAGTGAATAAGAGAACCACAACCTTGGGTATGACCCTTTATATTTGCCCACTGATTCTGTAAACAATAGAACAGATACCAATTTCTACAGAACCTCCACAAATATGAACGGCTTCACAGACCTCCACCCCCTCCTGGTGGGTAACAAGCTCTCAACCATATGTTCATTGGCACTCAAGTCCAGAAAGAATGTTTGAAATTGATCTACCTATTATGGCTTCATCATTTACCAAATGAGATGATGCAAGAGGAAATGAAAGTTGTCTAATCTGTCCCTTTCCAGCAAATTTTTTTTCAGTTAGATTGAAATGACAAGAAATATACATAACAGAATATTTATGATAATAAAATATGTTTTCCTTTTGGTATACACCTAAAGGGGGGAAATTTTTTGTTTCCTATTTTTCTCCTTTCCAAGGATAATAAATTATTATAGAAAAGTATTTTGAAGTTCATAACCAAATTAACTTTCAAAGTAATTTAGTATAACATGTTTTTATTTCAGCACATTTCTTTCCATTTACTTTGTGGAATACTTTGTAGAAAAAAAAAAGGAAATGATGAAGATGAGTTGCTTCATCTCATTTTAATGTTCATATAAGAAAATGATAGAATTGTTTCAGATCTTTTTTTATGTACCACATTTTGACTCTGCAGCTCCTGCTGGCTATGGAAAATACAGCTGCAACCCAGTGCATCCCTGTTAGATGAGGGGTAAAGCAGATGGCTTGTGCTCCTACACTGCCTACACATGAGGGAAGTACCATGGCTTGGATGGAGTACTATTTTTTTTTTCTTTTCTTTCTTTTCTTTTCTTCTTTTTTTTTTTTTTAGTACTAACAGTGCTAAAGTGAAAATAAATAGTCAAGCAGGGAGATAGAATTCACTGAGCCTGCAGTCATGGAGATTCTACTGCTGTGCTTACTGTTTCTCCCAGAGGTACTGAACAAACCTAAGTGGCTGCTTCCAATGATCCGTAATTCATCAGAAGGTCTCTCCATCTCCCACTCTATTCTCTACCCTGGAGCCTACATGACACATGGTTAAGCTGTCCCTATTACTGAGCACACAGTTTCCTAACGGGTTTGATAAGCCATTAAATTGTCTTGTATTTTCGAGAGAAAGGGAAGTTCGTCTGAAGTTACTGATTATTTTATCAACTTCATTCTTTTGGAATGTTAATAAAATCTGTATATCCTGTGTATACTGAATGCATATTTAAAATATATATCAGCATTTATATGGAAATTAATTTGGGGAATTGAAAAAAATATCCATGTGCTTTTAAAAAATGACTTAAATTCAAATACAATTCCTGTAACAATTAATAAAAATAAATCAGATGTCTTTGAAAAAGTGTGCTCTTTTTGCTTCATGTGTATTAGCAATAGATTAAAAATATAAATATATCAATGCACCAATAAATGACTTTGTGAATTTCAATATACCTTCATGGTAATAAAGACAAAATTATTCAATTGTGTGTTCAATTAAATATTTCCACTTTATACAAAGGAATGTAAAGAGTAATATACTGGTGAAGAACATTCAGTCCAGCATGTATGGACTAAAGTTTAGGGAGAGGTGCCATGACTGGTAAAGCTCATTTTTTTTTTTTTTGCAATCATTATTTTAAATCCTTTAGTAGAAATAATAGTATTCTATAGCATATTTCATTCTACTTTCCATGTCTTTTCAAAACCAACCCAACTCCACTGTCGTCTTATCCCATAATTTCTTAGAATAAGAAAAAAAAATAACAAAAACTTACTTTTCCAACATACTGAGGATCTGGTCCCATATGTTCTTCTAAAACAAAGAACTGATTCCAAACCCATCCCCTTTTGGGACGATGGTGGACTTCGGTTTCCCCTTCAATATGTTTGGTCTGGTTTCTGGTCACCTTGATGGAGCTGTGGTGAGCAGTTCCATAACACCTCTGCACAAAACAGAGACACACTAGGACTGGACAGATGCAAGATGTGCTCGTAATTTTCATTGTAAGATAGCTTTCCAGTTCACAGTCTCCTTTCTTTTCCTTGTCAGTTATAAATGCTTAGTGCACATTCAAGAGAGAAGCCAGAGCATCTTTTGAAAGGACAGTCCAAAGTAAATTGTTTAGCGTGTCCATGATTTAACTGCCCATCAGGGAAAGGTCAGACTACATTTACATCCTGAAACACTTGGAGAATCAAAGCTGTAGTTGTCTGATTCCAAATCTTCACAGTAAGTGAACACGGACCACCATTTTCTACCTAATGGAAAGAGAGAAAATGACATATATTACAAAACATGGTAGCTTTAACTATTTTCTCTGAATGCAAACTATACTATTTTGTAGTATGATGCTGATAAGTAAAGAATATATATAAATTCTTTTGGAAATACATGCAAACATGCATACACATAGTCATGCATAAGCCTGCATACTGCATACATTTTTATAAGAACCTCCCTATCTGTACTGTTCTCAATATTTAAAAACAAATTTATATAATATATATATTAGTATTTATATATATTTATTTGTATATATATTTGTATTTTAAAAGAATTTATGTATTTGAATATTTGTGCATATATACATATATATGCATATTTGTATATTTATATATGTATGTATGTATAAAATCCTTTGAAACAACAGAAATGCAGCCCTTGGGAGTCCAGAAATGCTCAGAAACTGACCATGAGTATCTGCACAGATGTAATATGATCTCTTAGAATATGGGATCTATTAGGCACTCCTTAGTAAGTGTAAATTTTGTTTGCTTTTGTGTTTATTTTGTTTTTTTGTTAAATGTGATACAAATTCACAACACATACTATACTTGGATTACATGCTACATGTGACTCGCTGTACTTCAACAAAATATTCAAAATACTTTACAGTTGAAAACTGTCATAGGTCAATCAAGTAGGTACTTGGATTGCTTAGGAAGTACAATAGAAAAAAATAAAACAGCAGAAATGAAGATGGCTGGAAAAAAAATGTATGCGATTTAAAATAACTCCATACATGGATATCAGATTGGCACAGCTGAATATGAGCGAGAGAGCATCAATTGGCTAAATTACAGCTTGACTGGATTTGAGAGGCCTGCAGATAATACTCCAGGATGTGGTCTTCATATATAGGCAAAACAGATTTCAAGCTTGGGGATGACATTACACATAATTCTAGCAGCTATGTAAATAAAGGTAAAAGGAACAAAATAATGGTGGCAAAAATAGCAGGAGGAAATGCTTTGATTTTTAAATGAGAAATATTGAGGACTTGGACTTAGATTTTAGTACAATTGGACAATAAAGCAAAACTTAAGACACATTTCTAGAAGAGAAGAGAGGATAAGGGGAAAAAAGTTGACCCTGAAAGTATTAGCTTATAAAAACTTAAAACTGTGTAGCAAATTTTGCTGTATTTGTATATGTGATTTATTTTTTTAAATATTTTATTTATTTATTTGACAGAGAGAGAGAGAGCACAAACAGGGGGAGTGGCAGGCAGAGGGAGAGGGAGAAGCAATCTCCCCGCTGAGCAGGGAGCCTGATGCAGGGCTTGATCCCAGACCCTAGGATCATGACCTGAGCAGAAGGTAGATGCTTAACTGATGGAGCCACCCAGGCACCCCTGTGTGTTTTAATATGTATTTAGAAAAAAAAAATTTGGCTTCAAGTTTATGGCTGCTCTAGCTAGTAAAAATATTAGGTGAATCACTTTCTCATTTCATAAAATTCACCCCTGTACACCAACACAAACTGAAATGTAGGTCTGAAAGAATTACAAGGTAGATGACATGATGATATAAAGATTTAACAAACTGAATACAAATAAGTCGTCATAGGATAATTCTTTCACACAATTGAGAAAAATATCTATATCAAGTAGGGAATGAAAAAAATCTCACATGAGACTTAGAATATGGTGCTTTTCTCTATCAGTATCTCTCCCCATAAATTAGGGTTAATGGTTATGCTTTTTTACCAGTTGTGCAAGAACTGTATTGATTAGAACTAGGATTTCATTTTAATTATCTGTTAAATATAACTTGAAGTTTGCAATATTTTATGGAAGCCAAGATAAATATTTCACTGATTGAAATTAAAAATGACTCAAAAACACTATTTTTTATTTTTTTAATTTATTTTTCCTTTTTTTAATGGGTGAAAGACCTTAACATCTCACCATAGAAGATATACAGATAGCAAATAAGCATATGAAAAGACAGTCCATATCATATGCCATCAGGGAAATGCAAGTTAAAACAATAAGATACCACTACGTACCCATTAGAATGGTAAAAATCTGGAACACTGACAATACCAAATACTTATGAGGATGAAGAGCAACAGGAATTCTCATTCATGAGTGGTGGGAATACAAAATGGCAATACTTTGGAAGTCAATTTGGTGGTTTCTTACAAAACTAAACATACTCATCATAAAACCAGCAGTTGTTCTTCTTGCTATTTACGCAAAAGAGTTGAAAACTTATGTCCACACAAAAACCTGCATGTGAATATTTACAGCAACTTTGTTCATAACTGCCAAAATTTGGAAGCAACCAAGATGTTCTTCAGTAGGTGAATGGATAAATAAACTGGTACAGCCAGACAATGGAATATTATTCATCACTACAAAGAAATGAGCTATCAAATCATGAAAAGACATGGAGAAAACTTAAATGCATAGGACTGAATGAAAGAAGTCAATCTAACATATTTTTCAAAAATACCATTGCAGCTCCAACATGATGAGAGCCCTGGAAAGAAAGAAAACAACAGGTTTTCTTTCCTTTGTTTATTCCCCAACAATGTACTTATAGCACAAACATATGAATCATCTAATTTCTTTGAGTCTCAATTTTACCAAAATTTGTGGCTTGAATAATTGATTTTAATATTCTTTCCAGTCTAATAAATTATTTGAATTTTATATACTTTTTATGTATCAACAGACAATTTTCAAGTTACAGATTTTGAAAAAGAAACTTTAGTCATTCTTCTTAGAAGTCAAATTGACGAATATACAGAAGGTGCTATCTTAATACTTTCACACCACTTGGTGTGATTTTTAAATGAAATTAACATCTTTGCCCTTTATGTTAAGTTGTTTAACAAAGCATAATTCATGAGTGAAGGTGAAGAAAGTGGTTTTTGTAATGCATTACAGATATGTAGAATGAGTGTGTTCTTTATAATATTGATCTTGCCTGGCATTCCAAAAATATATAAATGCATTTTAATTTACAAATGTATCTTTAGAATCTCTACTATGATAATTATAAAGTGATAAATAAGGCTCTGTGGAAAGAACAAATGTAAATATTACTGCTGTACTTTTATAAGTAATTTTATTTACTATGAGAAGACAGATCTCCAAATATAAAAATCTGCTGTATTTCAAGAAATCCATCCCTGCATAGATTAGAAAGAATTAAAACACAAATTATATTAAAATATTAAGACCAACACAGTGGAAATATGTTGCAGACATCTGCCATTTTCTGATTAAGCAGCACTCAAACACCTTCCCAACTTTCATGGAACAGTCCAATATATGAAGTCTGATAAACAGAGCCCTTCCACCTCTGAACACTTAGTGACCTGGTACTTTCTTCTTACAACATTTTAGATAGAATTTATACCAATTACATATGCGTGTTAATTATATGTTCCAGCACCCTGAAACAAATGATGGATGAATGGAGAGACAATTGAGAAATTTTTCACAATGGTGCTGAGGTTCTCAAGGTCCAGATGTAGTGGCTGTGAGTCCCCAGCCTTCTGGGGGAGTCCAGGGGCAGTTACATGAGATAAGAGTCATTCTAGCTACACTGTTTCAGTGGTGAGTACCTGAAATTGTTTCTTACTATCTAACTTTCGGTTTCCACTTCCCAAACCGGATTCTTTAGGCCTCATCAGTTTTGATGGCTGCACAATATTTTTCCAATAAATTTATTTGCTGCTTTCCATTGTCAAATTTGACATCTGTTATTTGAAAGAATTGTCTCTGATAAAAAACATTACTGTCAGTCCAAAAAAGAAGTAATTTCCAAATAATTCATTACATGCAATAATGTATAATGTAGACCTCTCCCCTCTGCTCAGTTACTTAAGTGAAACTTTGCTTCCAGATACTGGACCCTTGCTTTTGTAACTGCTCCCTCCTCCACAGTAGAGTTAGTAACAGTGTACCATGAGTCAAGAGACATGGCCTCAAATGTTCATCTTGTAGAACATTATCACATTTTCATAAGCGTTTATTTTTTACTCTGAGCTTCACATTTTTCATTTATGAATAAGGACTCTAACTGAATTATCTTTGAGCATGTGCAGCAATCTGATTATCTGAATTTATGATTTAATAACTGAGTATTATTTGTAAATTATTTTCCTTACTTACACTGAGTTACTCACATCACTGTGTTACTCACATCACCCAAGATAGGCATTTATAGATCTTCAGTGCAGGCATTCCTTCAGAGAGCTCAGGCATTCCTTCAGAGAGCTCCTAGGAAGCAATATCCTCAGAGAAATGTATGCTCACATTTACCCCAAATGTTACTGCTTGAAATGTGTGCCTTTCCCTGGATTTTTTTTTTTTTACCAATTTGTTCCTAACTTTTAAACTTTGAACTCTAAAGACGTCTAGAGAATGCCTTTTGTTGCATTTTTAAAGTTTTGCCCTTTTTGTTACTTTGAAAATATCTTTGTAAAAAAAATATTCTGTTGACTTTATTTCATGAATTTACCATTCCAGTCTCCATATGTGATGGGTGACATGTGATATTCCATATATTCAAAAACCCTAGAATTTTAATTGCTACCAAGTTCTAAACTCTAGCATTATATGTTACTTGGTAGGAATTTATCTGGCTTTGCACAGAGCAAGCCTAGCTTAAACATAAAATGTCAAAGAAGATAAAGTATAAGGGAAAGTCCATATTGTTTGGAATTACTTTCAATGTGAGATATATAAAGAAAGCTGTTCTTTGTGTCACCTTGAAAATAAACAACTTAACTTTACCATGATGAATTATTTAAAGCCGTCATACTGTCAGGCAGATTTAAATATAAGGGAATTAATTTTATGTTTGAATTCTGGAGTACTTATAAAGATGAAAGTTACAAATATTGAACAAGAGCCATTTTTTAAGTTTAACAAATAATTATTTAATATTTATCTATATATCCTTGTGTGTGTGTTTGCATTACCTTCAGGATGTTCTAAAACCTTGTGATTACAAGCATAAC